TTCTGGCAAGTGCATGCGCCCTATAGCAAAAACCTCTCCAAACAAAAAAGAAATTCATTGGTTGAGGTAAATGATAAGAAAAATTAGACTTGCTAACAATCCACATGGTAACAATATATAAGCATTGGAATTTTTTTCTGAAAGCTATTTGCTTTTTTATTTTTTACTTTATTTTTTCAGCTTTATAAATCTATAATTGGATAAACACTGCATACATTTGCAGCACAAATTTAATGTTTTGATATATATATGTATATATATGTATATATATGTATATATAGATATACACACACACACACATTTGATAGATTTAAAAACAAATGTGGCTGAATATTGTATATATATATGGGTTAGTATACTTTCATTAGTATTTCCTTGCCCTATCCACTGAGAGGACCTAGAAACAGTGATGTCCCATAGCTGTGAGCAACCTAGTGCCCAGATTTTGGTTTCTAAATATTCTCCAATAAAAGGGACAACGACCTGGGGGAAGTGGTTTATTTTAGTACTGGGTTAGTGAAAATTCAAGGTGAGCATGAAGTATTTTGTGGTATCAGAAAGTAGAGAAGTGCTTTTGAAAAGAAAGTGGGGGGTGGGGGGGCATGTCAGGAAGACACGGAAGCCAACCTGGAAGAGCTCCCAGAGGCCAAAGCTGGAATATTGAATCCCAAAATAAATAGCAGTAGCATTGGATTTTAGCCCCCAAAGTAAGTATCTGTGAGCCCATATGATGAGAATAAATGATTGAGTAGATAAGTGAGGGAGGAAGAGCGACCTTTCCTTACAGAAGCATTTCAAATAGTAAGTGTGAAAGAAATGAGAGAGACCTGGAAGAGCTCCCAGAGGCCAAAGCTGGAATATTGAATCCCAAAATAAATAGCAGTAGCATTGGATTTTAGCCCCCAAAGTAAGTATCTGTGAGCCCATATGATGAGAATAAATGATTGAGTAGATAAGTGAGGGAGGAAGAGCGACCTTTCCTTACAGAAGCATTTCAAATAGTAAGTGTGAAAGAAATGAGAGAGAAAATCACTACTAGAACACAGTAATAATGACTGGGCATGAGATCCTTTGATCAGTGCTAAAATTAGTGGGGAAAACCTTAAGGAAAAAGAAATTTCTAGATATTTGCTCCAAATAGCTCCCCCAAATATGTACATATCACAAAGGGAAAGATAGTAACTTCGCAATGGAGAAGTCTGGCAGATACCGCCCCTGCCAGATAAGTGATCAAGACTAAGGATACCAGTAATCAGAGACTGACATGGTGCACTGAGAAGGTCACATTGCTTCAGCAGTGGTTGGCCCCAAAACCTATAAGCAAATCTAACTATGGGAAAACATAAGGTAAACCCAAATTAAAGAACATTCTTCAAGATTACTAACCAGGTCCCAACTGTCAAGTTTATGAAAGTCAGACTGAGGAGCTGTCAAGATTATAAAAGACAGATCAGAGGAGACTAAGGAGACAGGACAGCTCTGTGTGCCTTAAAATCCTGGATCGGATCCTAGACCAGAACACGGACATTAGCAGAACAACTTTGAAACTGTGTGAAGTGTATCATTTAATAAATAGTATTGTACTACAGATCAACTTTCTAGTTTTGATTATTGTACAGAGGTTATGCAAGATGTTAATATTGGGAAGCTGGGTGAGAAATACACGGGAACTTTGTTCTGTCTTTGTAATTCTTCTCTATGTCTACATTATTTCAGTATAAAAAGTCTTTTCTAAAAAGCTAAACAGCATGGGCTAGCAGGTGATGTGGTAGTTAAGCTGGACTCCCATGTGGCTGATAATGGTTTGATTGCTGGACTTGGCGGCTTGAAAAATCTTACTGGGGAAGTGTGTGCACATGCCCAAAATTCCAAAAGGAGAATGGAGGAGAAGGGATTGTGATGTGGTCATCCCCCAGGGGTGATTTCTCACTTTTCCTCTCTCTGTCTCTGGCAAGTGCACATGCCCTATGGCCAAAACTTTAAAAAAAAAAAAAAAAAAAAAGAAAGAGGGAAGAATAGTAAGTGTTCTTGGGTGAAAAGTTTGGAGGAGGTACCTCCTTTAGATGAAGAAATGATGAAAAGCCACACTTTGATTCTGGAGCTCGCTGACAGAAGCCCAAAGAGGTAAGGGGCCTTGGTCAAGGACCTTGGTGCTTGTATCTGTAGAAGCGGGATGAGGGCCTGGGTTTTCCGACTTAGTGTGTGGCTTTTTCATCCCACCCCTCTCTCAGCTCCAGCGGTGGATTTTCCTATAATCATTCAGATACTGCTGTTTTCACTTTACACAGTTTAAAAGTAGACACCGTAGTCCTGATTAGACATCTCGGTCAGATACCACCACCCTGTCTTGGGTGTCCATTTTCTTTAATTTTTAAAAATGAATTCATTTTTTTTTTTTTTACTTTCATTCACTGAACATCATCTCAGCGTACAAAATATTATATCCAATTCAGAATACACTGTATAGTGGCTTAGTCATACATGTTATCATTAACAAATAATTTTCCTTTTAATTAATTAATATATATATGTGTGTGTGTATATATTTATATATGTGTGTGTATATATATATACATATATATATATGTGTGTGTATATATATATACATATACCTGCCATTTCTCACCCTCTGCCATTTCCCACTCTCCTCCCACACTATCTCTGGTATCTGCTGTTGCTTTCCATTCCTTTTTTTTCCCACACATTTTATTGATTCACAAAATATCTTAATTAATCTAACCACTTTCAACAGCACGTTCAGCTGATATATACATATCTGTGACAACATGTTTGACTTGAAGCATGAAACCCTGTGAGTAGAATGACTATACTATAAAGTAGCACCTAGCTCAGGCATTTTCATCATTTCTGCCCTTCACTGATAGCATATGCATTTGTCTGATTCTTCTCAGCAGAAATTGGAGACCAACAAAAGGCCTCCTTCCGGAACCTCCACTACCTCCAAAAGCACCTCTCCCACCCTCACGCCCTCCCCTTCACCCAAAGGACACACAGCTGAGTCTTCAGTGTCCTCCTCCTCATCACATCGGCAGTCTAAGAGCAGTGGGGGTTCCAGCAGCGGCACCATCACGGATGAGGGTGAGTCCTGTGGAATCCTGAAGCCTCACCTGTTCCCTCACCATGGTGACTGGGCAGTGCAGTTGCAAGGTGCCTTTCATTGCTATAGCCATCCTAGCTCAAATTTTGGTGTGTGTGTGTGTGTGTATGTTTTAATTTACAACAAATACATTCTTTCCCTTTCTTAATTCTACTTGCATTTCCGTTTTCACTGTGCTAACAGTGTATGATCAACTCTCTCAGATAGTTTTTGGATGTAGGTAAGTTGCATTTATATGCACAAGCATACACCAGTGGAAATGCTTCTTCATCACCAGGTTATTTACTTTCCCTGAACCTTGTACAAATCAGGATTCTTTCCCTTACGAGTGAGGGAATCTCTCCTCAGGCTGGTTTAAGGAAGAAAAGCAAAAACAGTAGTTCATTGGCTCACATGATGAAGGTGTCTACGGTGTGCTTCAGACTTACTTGGATCGAGCTGCTTTGGGAGTGTCTCTCTGTTATGTCAGTGGAAAGCAGCTTTCAGACTTCATAGTGCCACTCACTTTGCAACCCAGGAGAGAGAATGCTACTTTCTCAGTAGGTCCAGCAGAATGCCAGTGGTAAAAATCATCACATAATTAATGACTTAGGTCTTTGCCTATCTAGACCATCTCTGCATCCACAGGGGTAGAATTTGCTGATAGGCTAGGCCTGGGTAGGTATCCACCTTTGGAACTGGGATTGTGGTCTACCTTGCCAACATTGTGTGGATTAGAAGTGGGAGAGAAATGGTTCCTCAAAGGAAAATCGAAGTGCTGTTTCTGGGAGGATAGGGAAGGATTCTGGGCAAGCAGAAGCAATCGAAGTCCAAGCAATCGATGTCCACTGTAAGCAGAACTTGGAACCTGCCTATGTGAGTTACAAGCCCTTCCTGTGGGGACAATGAGGTATAGAAGAGGAGTGGACAGCAGGGTAGGAGTGAAGACTTTGCCTGGAGGCCCTAGGGAAGATAAAGGCTGATGAAGAACTCCATCCTTTCACACTGCCCCCGGTGGCTTCTGAGAACTGGGAGGGGTGAAGAAGGGAGGGAGCTTCAGTGAGAGATGAGGTCCAGACAGTTGCAAATCAGAGTACAAACCAGACGGAGGCGACGGAGGTCTCGTGGTGTATACAATCCTCCCAAGGCATTTGCAGGCAGCTCATTGCAACTGCCAGGAGCAAGGTGTCTGCAGGTCCCGCTGAGCAGGTGATAAGTTGGAACCAGCTGCGCGGGCTCTGTTCTGTACTGTGGTGATAAACACCTGCTGCCGTCGGCATCCTCTTTGTCCAGTCGCTGCTTTCTGTTTCCTGGTATCCAGTGCAATCATTTCTAACGGCTTCAGAGATTCACTAGCAGCTCCGTTCTCCCTCACCGTGTTTTCTACACGGAGCCTTAATTCCCCACTCAAATTCTCCCACTTCAGAAGTTTTCAGGAACCTAAACCTTCGCAGGAGGTTCTGGTAGGTATTTGGACTCTATCTTTTTCCAGAAAGAGTTGATACAGTGGGTGTCTGTATGCATTGCCCACTCGCCCCTCTCATTCATCAAGGCTTCTGATGCTGCTTGGGGAAGGGTAAGAGAAGAGGCCCAACAGTGGTTTCTTTGAAGATTAATGTCTACGGCTTAAAAAATCCTGGTTTTCGGGGATCGGCACGTGGTGTGGTGGTTAAGAGCGCTGGACTCCCACATGGCCGACCACAGTTCAAGCCCCAGACCTGGCAGCTTGATTTCTTGCTCTCTCTCTCTCTTTGTCCCTCTCTGGTCAAATTAAAATTAATTAATTAATTAAGTTAAATAAAATAATTATTATTAATTTTTTAAATCCTGGTTTTCCCTTTTGGATTTTGTCCTGTGGGTATAAGCTTGTCAGAGGGCAGGGGCCACAGCCATTCCCAACAGCTATTCTTTGTAATATTCTCCAGGGAAATGTGTGGCCCCATCAAGGACCACATGCTGGCTCTCATATGCCCTGCCCCTTCTCCGGCATCCCCTCCCTGGGCTTCTGCTGGACACAGCACAGGTCCGTGGTGGCCTCACCTCAGCAGCCCCACATTCCTTCCAGGAAGGCTCAGTGGGTAGCTGTGAGGCACCATGCCCTGTGCCTGCTGATAGGTTAGAAGAAAGACACACACAGTGTATTCATATTGGGTTGTAACACAAGATGGGGTCACACCTGCATTACCAGCAAAGCCGTGTGCCCTGGAAGGTCACATCAGAGTGTGGGCATTCGACAGGACCACAGGGCTGAGATGAGTGGGGCTGTGGGGTGCCAGAGCTGACTGTTCCACTTACAGGAAATGGCCAGTTGGTTGGCACACATAGCCATTATGAAGGGCTAAATTGCATGAACTTCAACAACAGGTTCTATAAAAACATAGGCATATTTAAAATAACTTCTTAGTGTGTCTGATCACCTGTGCTCTTGAGGTCTCTGCTATCACTCGTATCTAACGTGAGAACACTGTGGTCAGCACCCAGTGTCACGGACTCTGCACCCGTGATTCAGCCAACCACAGATCAAAACTACTACAAAGTCAAAGTACACAATGAAAAAAATGCAAATAAAAAGGCAGCATAATAGCTACGTAACATTTATGTTATATGCCTTTTATAAGGAATCTAGAGATAAGCTAAAGTATATGGGAGAATGTGCATAGGTCATACGCAAATACTATGGCATTTTTAAGAGATCTGTGGATTTTAGTCTCCTCTTGGGTCCTGGAACCAACCCCTATGGATACTGAGGGACAGTTGTGTGATGTGTTACTACTTTGCATGTCTTCCCACCTCCACTTTTAGGGACATTCTGTTGGTAGGTTGAAATTGGCCATGATGGGGGTATTTACACCATAGAAATCAGCAACCACCACCAACCAGAGCTTGATTTACTTATTGATTGCCTAGACATACTCTAGACAGTCATGGAGAAAAAGTAAAAAAGATTAAACTTAAAAGTGTGTTACATCTGTAGTCATTATGTGAATAGCACACACACAAAATAAGAAAATACCCCTATTTTAGTGTTTGAAAACCATTATTTGATTAAGCTAAGTCGCTCACATGAAGTTCCAACATACGGCTTTTGTATCACTTTATCTCACTTACTTATGTAAACAAAACTATCAACCATCAGCGAGCAGTTGTAACTCCACTCCTTGACTGTAGATGTAAGAACAAGGCAATAATCAGTAAAAGCATTCAGTAAGGAGCAATTGGCTGTATGGAATTTCCAGTAAAGGTTGTTATGCATTTTATAATTATTTGTAAACCGTGCGCCATGCATCCTTTCTATCAGTAAAATCTGCAGTGAACTCGTGAATCTGCATCTATGCATGCATTTCCCCTGAGCTCCAGCTGTGAAGCATGGTCCAGCACCCTGTGTGGAGTAAGACTACACGGAGGGGACGGCAGGCGCAGAGGTCTGACATCACGAAAGCATGGCGGACAGTATGTGCATTGAAGCTTGGTTCGTCTCATACATCTGAGCTTAGGATCATCTCGGGTGCATGCTAGCCTTAGTTCCACGAAGCTTTGATCTGAGTCCATTGTCATGTCTGTCTCCACACCCCCTTTTCATGCCCTCCACCAGTGAGAACAGGGTGTTTGGTACAAGCCTGGGTGCTAGACTACTGGGTTGGAGTCCCCACTCCGCCAGAAACCAGCTGTGTGACCTCACCCAGATATGGTGCCCAATCTTTCTGTGCCTCACTTTCTCATCTCTTAAGTGGGGACAGTAGCAGGGGCTGCCTCACGTGGTTACAGAGCGAGTGGGTTATCCACATACAGGGTGCCGAAGTGAGCACTGCACATGCTCCACCATCATTATCTTTCCAGCCACACCTTGCATTCCCAGCATGCAGTAGGCACATCGATGGCTGCTGCTGAGTGATTGGGTGACTTAAATGAATATGTGAATAAAAGAAGGCACTCAGGCCTCCTAACCTCTTTGACTGCCTAGATGTGGCCTAGTACTCTCCCCTAATGCAGATATCTGCATTGCTGTTTCTTCATTTACTGCTCAAATGTCACCTTCTAAGACAGGCCTCTTATGGCCACCTTCTGTAAGACAGCATCTGTAAAATGGGGGACACCCGTCATCTTATTCTCTCACCCTCACCTTGTTCTTCCTTACTGGCTTTGATGTCTCAGCCTGACTGTTGTCTGTCTTGATACATGCTGAGTCCCCAGTGCCTTGTCTGGTAAGTCTCTGTTGAATGTGTGAACCATGATGTCTTCAGGCCCTCCAGAGGCCGGCCTTATCTCCTTTCTTTGCCCTTGCTCCAGAGCCCCAACTCCTGCCCTGACTGTGCCCCTGGCTCTGCTGCTCCACTCAGATGCACCTTTCCATCAGGAAGGCACCGATTTTTCACACTTGAACCAAATCTTAGACGAGCTGAGGACTGCTGGTTTGGGCCTGACTGACGTTTGCTGAGCATTCTCACACGGAAGGCAGCGTTCTCATCCCAGCTGCTGCACTACAGCTTGACTGTTGCAGCCTTGAGAGAGTCAGCCCTGGCTGGGCTCGCCCACTTTGCAGCCCAGTCAGGAGTTCCAGGAGATGTGAGGGGCTGCCGGGAAGGGAAAGGCTATGGCTGGCAGATAGCTCAGAGCCCACTGCCCGCCTCCCGGGGACGGCAGCTTATACCTGCTTTCAGGGTCAGGATTTAATTTGAAATGACATTGCCACTACCGTTTTGATACATTTTACCAAATTCTAAAATGAGTTTTTTTTCCCCCTCTTGAAGATGAACTGACTGGAATACTTAAGAAATTATCCCTTGAGAAATATCAGCCCATTTTTGAGGAACAAGAGGTAAGGGTTTTTGTTTTGTTTTGCCTTTTAACTTTTGAATGTCAGTTTAAATTTTACTGTAAATAGTTTTGTCTAAATATATATGTTTTCATTCTGCAAGCATAGATGATCTTTTTCATTGAGACAGCTGAAGAAATAGAATTTGTGTTCAGCACATTTAGTTCAGGTCCTTGCAGTGGAATCTTGGAGACCTTCTGGCTTGTTTCATTAGCATTGAACTTAATGATCTTGGACCCTGATCTCTCTAAAAAAGTTTGTGTCTGTCCCAAAAACATTTTCGTTACATGGGGTTGACTAGCAGATGCATAACTTCAAAGCAGATGAAAAGCAAAGCCTAAAGAATCTGTGATCAGGATCCAGAAATAGGATGTGTGGTACTTTGAGGGAGTTCCTATTTGCTTAAAAGCATCCAAAACACATTTTTTTCAAAGCATTATTTTATTTAGCTTTATTTATTATTATTTTAATATTTCCAGAGAGAGACACGGGGTGGACAGTGAGAAAGCAAGCCTCCAGGTCCAGGACTTGAACCACAGTTAGCCATGTGGGAGTCCAGTTCCCACAACCATCATGCCACCTGCGGGCCCCAAAACATTTTTAAAAGTTACTGTTCTGGAGACCAGCAGATGGCACAGTGGTTACATCGCTGGACTCTCACATAGTCAACCGCAGTTTGAGTCCCAGACAGCTTGAAACTCACACTGGGCACATGTGCGTGCATGCATGCCCAAAATCCCAAGAATGGAGGAGAAGGGATTGTGGTGTGGCCATCCCCCCTGGGGGGTGATTTCTTGCTCTCTGTCTCTCTGGCAAGTGCATACAGCCCTCTAACAAAATTTCTCTAAAAGAAAAGAAATGTTAAAGTTACTGTCCTGCAGTGTGGCAGTTTCTCAAAATGTTAAACATGGAGTTACCCTACAATGTAGCAGTTTTACTCTGCAGTGTATTCCCAGGAGAAATGAAGGCGTACAGCTATGTAAAAAGTACAGCTATGTAAAAAGTCATGCACAAACGTTCATAGCAACTTCAGTCAGTTACAATAGCCAGAGAGTGGAAACAAGCTGATAAATAGACAAATAAAATGTGCTACCTCTATACAGTGAAATATTATTCAACAATGGAAAGA